ATGAAATGATAAATAGAATCGAGTACAAAAAATTGTAAAAGTTTGACAAAATATTACGATAAATGATTATTCTGCCAATTTTTGTTTCATTTACGTTATATATTTTAAAACTGATTTCAAGCCAAGGTCGCTTGCGGCCGAGGCGCTACAATGTTTAGTGTTGAATTTTAACTGTAGCACACCGGCCGCAAGGGACTTCGGGTTTATTGGGTGACTAAGTAACTAAAACTAACACTAGACCTAAATCTAGAAACATTCGGGTTTAGCCGTGTGCCTCTTCAGACCGCCGAAAACTCAGGGTTGTCATAAGGACCTTTTTCATGTATACTTTTTACTGCCTCTCTTTTCTTTCTTCATATACGAATTACATCAACAGAAAGTTTTGTTATTGTGCAAAAAATCGATATTTTCAGGGTTCTGAATCCGATTAGATTTTTTTATGTTTGTGGGTTTGTTTCTACGTATCATGTATGTGTGTAAACACGATAATTCACAAATTCAATTAGCGTTGGTGACGAAAATTGGTATATGGCTTTTACACTAAAACCGTAGATCTGTATCAACGTTTGGGCTAAATCTGTCAACCGGAAATAATACTTCATCTGAACACATCGAATATCTTACATCTGACTTTATGAAATCATGAAATTTAAAGCTTTCAACAAAATGTTTTTTAATTAAAAAAATAAAAGCTGCGGATAAGAATGTTATTAATAAAAATTGTTCGTAATAAATTACAAAAACATAGTCCATAAACGATTTTTCTCCAAATATTTCGATTTTTTTTGTTATAACGCATAACATTTATTATAATTCGAAAACGAGAAAAGTTTGCAGAAAATTCTATTCATGAAAATCATGTGTTTTCAACTTATTCATAAAAATCTTAATCATATGCTTCCAGAAAACCTTGACTACGATTAATTACAGGATATTAACTACATTTAACCATTAATTTTCCAGTTGTGTAACTAGAAAACATATAATTACCGCAAGAAATTAATTGTTTTTGTTTATACATTCAAACCAGAAAGAAAAAGTAAGAATAGAATCAACAAGTATGGATTGAAAATGAAGCTGTATTGTTTAGAATTGATATCATTGAGTTTCCATTTCGAAATTCTATTAGTGTAATTGAAAGTTGAGCAAACGCGAGAGATGTCAACTGTAGGTCAAACTCACTTACTCGATTGGTTTAAATCTAATTTGGCGAAGGGTACTTTACTACCGGCTGACTCTTCAGCGCGGTTACAAACACAGATCGGAAAATGCAATTGAACTTATTAAGTCGAAACTGCATAATCACCGAGTTACACGTGGTTTTTATAACCTTGAACGAATATATACATAATATTATTTATCATTAAACAAAGTATCTCCCAAACAATTAGGATGTCAAAGAACTTTTAAAGAATTTTTTTCTGAAACATTTCTTACCTTTCAATGTGGAAATTTGAAATAAAGAGTTATTTTAAAAATAATCGTTGTCAAAAATCAAAGTAATTAATTATGAATGGTAAATAAAACACACTAAACACAAGAATCGGGTGGTAGACTGACAACAAACTAAGCAGACGTTTGGGTTTTATTCAACACAACCCCACTCCGTACGAAGTCATGCGCGGGTCTCTTTCGATCAAAATCAAACCATATCATCATTAGGGCTAATTTGCTGATACCGTTCTTGATGCGAACGACTCGTTCCACCACTTGTTTGTCGGTTACCTCGTTAGAATCGAGGACAGAAAAGTGCTTACCGTTGCGTTCTCTCCACCCTTAAAATTCCACCAACGGTTTTCGAAAATGCCTTTGGGAAAACGACAGTTTCCGAAATGAAATTATAACGGACAAATTTGTTGTGTTAATAAGTGTGTTACTACAAGGGTCATGAAAATAATAAAAAAAATTGTCTAAAAAGTTTTCGTGTGAGATTACTACGTAGAATAAAAAAACCCACACACGCTATATCATTAAACCGCTTATTTGGGATGATTTTTTTATTATTTCAAAATTGTTCAATTCAACTATCATTTCCGTCATTGACGATATCCGTTTTTCTGTCCCTAACGAATTTAGTCCAATTAGAAAAAATGTTATTTCATTCGATATTTCAACAAGAACCACACGAAGCATTATGAAACAACTATGTCACGCAACGTAGTTTAACAAATATTTGCTATAGCTTAACATTTTATAAATATAAAAAAAATTAAAATAATCTTTTAATCAAATCAATTTCGATAAAAAGTAAAAAAGTTTTGATTCATGAAAAGTAAATTTCGATTTCAATTAATCGAAGGTAACAAATTACCCGATCACGCTATGTATACTCCAAGGGATGCATTGTAATTAAAATTGAAACGAAATTTGCAATTCAGATTGAAAGCGAACAGCGGCAAAATCTCATAAAAAACCCCCGTCATTCATACACAGTTCGTTGCTGGACTGTTGAAACGCTGCTGAAATGCGGTGGGTAAGGAACTTGAATATTTATGACTTTCAACAACCGTGCGCGATGGATATCTATAGAAAAAAGGATTTTTTTTAAATTACAAACCCCGATCTGGATGTTACAACACTATTATTCGCGGATTTTCAATTTATCATTGATAAATACATAATGATAAATAAGTAAGGTTCTTATCGAATTTATATTATAAACATGCCTTTTCGTAATCTTAACTATTAAAGTTAATGATGCGTGAAGAAAGCAAATTATCTATTAACTAATACAACATTTCGAAATATTAGAATCATGCGTAAGTGGTGAAGTTGGTGAAAAAGTGTCACGTTCCTAGATTTTAAATAACATATAGATTAATTTTTTGTTATTTAGGAGTCATAATACGTGATGAAATTCAAAATATCTATATCAAAACTATCTACATACAATATCAAAATCTCATTTTATTTGCGTTAAATAAAATAATAAATATTTATTTTTAATTTGTATTTGTTACTCGTAAATATCTAATTGCCAAAGAGATTTCACATTTTTGGTAATTTCTGATAATTCCACCTATACGTAACCAAAGCAACAAGTTTAGTGACAAGTTTAGTACCTGTTCCTACATTTAGATAAATTACATATCGGGAAGGCGGACCAACCAACCATCTATTTACCTCGATAGATAACGTTATCAAATTTCACCGTGCTTTCCAATGCTCTTAACAAACATTAATACCTTGCTCGGTGAAAGGCATTCAGATCCTTTGGGGAGACAAACTGCGACCCATTAATCAGCAGTGCCCAGTAAAGACACCCATTAAAACTTTAATGCTGCTACGAACAAGTCCTAAAATATTCCCAGGTTTGACAGTGGCGATAGCACAATATCAGTGCTTATAATGTCTTCCACAGCCCATTGGTAAGACATGTCGAAACAGTTTTGAGCAGTCTTTCAGCGGTAAGACTCCAATTTTTTCCACAAAGATTACTACAAGTCCACAACGATAGTCTCTCCCTGCAAATGTCCATTCCATGAGAGGGTTTTGTCTAGAATAACTCCTAGATATTCAAACGTGACCACGAAATAAAAACTTCTTGTAATAGAAATACCTGCATACTGAAACATTCAGAGGTAATAGACGAAATGAAGCAAAAAGACATAAAGACTAAAGAATCTCAAGACTTGTTTGTGTACACCTGCGTCAAAAATCGAAATAAAAAGTAATGTAAGTTACACGCCGCAGTAATAAAAACAATTATTCCCTAAAGAATTCTAATGGGTTGGCCGTGAAACTCAGCAAAACGTTCTTTCTTCCCACCTTAGGGTATGGAAAAAACCTATTATAGAGAATATCAACTCTTTCCATCTCACCATATCTCTTTATCGAAGAAAACATGCGCCGAATCGTTTATATTTATCATCAGATATTTCAAACCAAGTCATTATCGATTCTACTACTCATATATAGTTTTTGAGTTTGTTAACTTACGATAAGTGGTATAAAAATAATTCCATTTTCTAAGTACTTTAATTACAATTAATACAATTATAATTATCTATTATCACTGATATATTCGATAAGATATTTTAATGTAGATATGATTTTGATGCGTTAAAACGTTTTTACAACCTAATAGATCACACCATAACATATTACTTATCAAATTGAAATCACAACGTTAATACGATAATGGAGTCAATTTGCTCCCTAAATTTTAAACTATTAGGGCTAATTCGAACGCGAAAAAATACTTCCTCTAAATCAACGTGTGTTTATATGTGTGATATAACCATGTTGTGTGAGATCTTCTTTACAATCCGAATGTTAAATTATAATAGTCTCTCATTATCGTGGTACAATAATTTAGACAAATTGTAGTGTGTGCTAGAATAAACATTGTAACTGTTGTTTCCTGTTCACGCCATACATATTTAAGCAACTGTTACGAAATACTTTTGGATAGTTTTAAAACGAATAACCAGGAAAGCTTACCTATAATTTTAGATTCGAGAACGTTTACTACATTTGAAGTCACAATAATTTAAAATTTTAAATAATTAAAATATATACAAAAAATTACTTTTTCACTTTACATTTAGTGCAACAAGACACACCACATGTTAATACTAAATAGCTTTTCTTTCATTTCCTACTTTGGAATGTTCTACTAAAAGAACCAGTTTGACGACAAGAACATGCTTTTGAAGAAATTTATTTTATAAAAATCTGAAAATTTCTTTAAATATCTTTTAAAAAATCTATATTAAACAATATCAATTTAAAAAATGTTTATTAAAAGTTAATAATAATCAAATTATGTAATTTTTTCAATTTTCAAAAAATAATTATTGCGTCATCTATTAGCGACTAGAATAAACACAATAATAGTCATTAAATTTTTTTTTTCTGCAAATAATTCAACACAATTAATTAAAGAAACGATACATTTATTATAATTTAATAAACAAATTCACTCAATCAATTTAAGTTTTATCTTTATTACTATTTAAATTATATAAATGATTTTCTTACTTTAAAAAAAGATGTCGCTGCGAAGCAAAACATTACAAACGTGAAAGATAGGTTATGTCATAACCTCACTTTAATTTTCTTAAAACTCAAATAATTCTTAAAATTAATAATTTAAAATGTTAAAAGTACTTTCGCCTGATATAATATTAAAATATAATAGTAAAACTTTATCGAAAAGATTACTTTTAACAATTTCGTCGTCACGGCAAGAAAAAAGGTACAATAGCTTTAGAACGACTGAAACAAACCCATTAAATCACACCACGAATCATCTTGGTCAATTTTATCGCATTTCCCACGATTTAGAACAGAAAATTTTCCATCATGGTGGTTTACCTAAATCGTTTCAAATACAAAGTAAAACGTTTACTGAAACGTGTTTAATGGTTCGAGAGCCTTATGTAGATATCGTAAATTGTATAAAGTCTATGGATTTTTCGAAACCTGCGTTAAGATTTGTTTTGTATGGTAAAGAAGGAAGTGGAAAAACATTAACAATGGCCCATCTTTTACACTACGCATATTTATCAGATTTTCTTATCGTTCATGTCCCGTGGGTTGGAAATTGGATGAGACGATGTAAAGAAAGCAGTGCTTCAATTACAAAAGAAGGTTACACAGACATAAATTTAGATGCAGCATCGTGGTTGTTACATTTTAAAACACAAAATGCAACTTTGTTAAATAATCCTGATTTTGTTACTTCAAAAGAATATATTTGGAGCAAACGTGAGAGCACTCCAAAAGAAGTGTCACTTATAAAATTAATCGACCATGGCATTAGCAGGGTTAAATATGCTTCTGATTGTGTGGTATGTTTAGCGGAGGAAATAAAACATTTATCTAAAAAAGGATTATGTAAAACTTTCGTGGCCATTGATGGATTTAACGCATTTTTTTATCCGAATACTCGCATAAAAACCGAAAAGAAAGAAATTGTTCATCCTTCTAAAGTCGTCGTAACAGAAGCATTTTTAAATTTGACTAGATACGATTGGAACAATGCTGTTTGTGTGGTTACTGTTGATCAATTAGTTCATGCTGAACAGGATAAATTATCTTATTTACCGAAATATTTATTGGGGAAAGATGGTTTTGAACATTTAGATCCTTTCATACCAATTTGTGTGTCTGGTTACTCCAACAAAGAATTCACAAGTTGTATGGATTATTATAGAGAAAGAAAATGGGTTCCAAGTTTGCCTGGGATGGATGAAGAATTAGCTTTTCTTAGTAATTCTAATCCCTATAAGTTAATGGGATTATGTGGTCCTTTATAATTTATGTGATAGCTTTGTAAAAAATTGATAAAATTAATAAAATATAAATATTCAAAATAGGTTTTCTAAATCAACACCTCAGAGATAAGGTCTATGTATATTTGTTTAAACATTAAGTCCACTTTCAAATCTCTCTTCTTAACAATTTCAAGTTTGTGGCTTAACATACCTTACCCTGAGGAGCTGAAATATTATATTTACATTACTTTTTAGGTCTAAAAGAAACTAAAACTAGAAAGATTTGAGCTCGTTTTGATTGGAAAATATTAATTATTCTTGAAAATAAAAACGATATAACCTCAAATAAATGTTGTCAATTTCATAGTACCAATTTAAAAAAATAAATAAAGGTACTAAATCTGGAAACCATCTAAGTTTTGAAATTATGTTGAAACCAAACGCAATTAATATAGAAATAAATAAATAACAATTAATAACAAAATTGAATATAATACTAGTATATAGTGTAATTAATACGAATTAAAAGAAATTTTAAAAAATTATTTAAACTTAGTGACATTTAATGAATTCCATTACCAACCTCACGATTGCAAGGTAGTCTTCAACTGATTTTCTCAACTACTTTTTTTGGGCATAATTACAAATAATTTTCTTTAATAGCCAAACAAAGCGTCTTAAAAGGTACAAAGTAAGAAACTTTGATTTTTTCTGAATAAGATAGGACTAAACTCCTCGTTTTTAGCGAATAGAAAAGTTTTGGCGACCACTTTGAAAATTGACATGCACTTTTAATGAAAATTTTACATTAAAAAAATAATTTAACTCATTTCGAGTTTCAAGGTTGGTAGTAACAACAGAAATTCCCAGCTAAATTAGTTGTCGAAAAAGGTTATGTATTTGTAATTAATAATACTTATAAAAATAATTGGAAATAAGTAATTGACAAACAAAATTAATGAAATAAATTTAATTTATTTATGTTTTAGATATGTTAAGAGCCGATTATTTAGAAAAAAAAATCATGGTGATCGAGAAACTTTGGAAAGTTTATTACAAAGAGCGGTGTTAAAAAATAACTTCTCTTAGAATCTATATACAAGGGATGCATCGAGATTTTACTGTAATTTTATAGAGTAATCTATTTTATCGACAAAATAAGTGTTAGTACCTGTACCCGTTAGATAACGCTAGTATACAAAAATATTTCTACGACAGCTGATAAGTCGATTTACACCGTGAATTTATATAGAGAAGACTGACTTATTGTGTATAGGAGATAGGAATACGCGGTCGATTTATAAGAATGAGTGGGACAGACAGTAGTGAGTAGAAAATGGCAGCTGTAGGTACTTCAAATTTTGATTGTTTAGAAATAAAAACCCGTAGTATAGAACAAACCCTGCTACCTCTGATTAAACAGGTAAAACAAAATAGGATTTATGTGGTTTTGTACGCACGTGCATTCATTTTACTCTAATATTCTTTAATTCCGTGCGCTCGCCGCCTTTTCGTTTTGTGTGTAACGCCGCTTACTCATGCCGCAACGATTTTGTAGAATTTCTTTTTGGCATATAAATGAAAAAGATTTCTAATACAGTGGTACGCTGTGTTTTCAGTTGTTGGCAAGGTTGATGCAGTTGCATAGAGTAACATCGGCTTTGATGTTCGCTGATTACCAGCTTTCATGTAACTCCCTTTTTTTATTTTCATTTGCAAAGCAAGGTTATGTTTTTGTTTATTTAGTAACATGTGCGAATGTTGTTCATACGCACGCGTTAAATAACTGATATGATATATTATTGTTTCAATGTTTTAATATTAATCTTGTGTGTTGTTTTTATTTGAAATCGGTTTCAAAACATAATTTTATTGAGGAAATATATTTCTCATCTATAGATAGTTAGATAGTTGGATCCGGAGTAGGTATGGGCATTTGTGAACCAAATAGCTGCATTAAATTGCCTCTCAGTCGGTCATAACCGTTTTTCAAGCAGAAGTTCTTGCTATAAACTTCTGCACCGTTTTGAACCTAGAAAAGGGACAGAAAGGTGCATCTATAAACATTTTCATAGCCAGTTGGATCGCCCTAAAGGCAATTCAGCAACCTGAGAAAACTCTCTAGGGGCAATGATGTTACTCTATGGTGGGTTCCAGGTCACCGAGACATTGAGAGCAATGAAAAAGCGGACAAGTTGGCCAAAGAGGCAGCGAAAACTAAAAAAAAGCTACTTAAAACATCAATAGCTGGGAGGTCTCAAAGATAATCTTTCGCTGGAAAGAACTTCCAGGTCACAGACAAGCGAAGAGTATGATAACTTCGTAAAACAAAATCAAAGATGTTCTATGCCTTAACAAAGGGGATCTAAGGTAGCGACCTTAGATAGGCGCCCCTAAAATATCATCTCTTCCACATTGGACAAAAGTTACATAAGTTACAATAGATCTTATAGGTCGCGGTGACGAAAGGGGCTATTCCCGGCACCAATAATAATAATAGTTTTCATCGAAAGCAACATATTTTTATATGGAAAATCAGAATTTCCAATAACAACTAGGTATACCAGTCCAATTAATATAACAGAATTGTAGGCTATTTCTTGTGGACCAGATAAATTGTATCCGCATTGCCCTTTTTGTCCCCTTCTGTTTCAATCTGGCCTCCAAATCCTCTTCATTCATTCCCTTTCCTCTATCTTATCACCCCCTCTTTAACTTTCTGCAGATCAACCACCATTTCCTAATCATTTCCACACAATCTACTAATACTTTTCTCTTTTCCTTTCTCTACCTCCTCCAAGTAATTCGAGGTGGTTTAGAGTTAAAACTCTTTAATCGACGTTATTAAAGAAAAAGTTTAAGATAAATATGTGTTCTAGTTTATGTATTTACAAAATATTCTGTGAAACTGAGTATGAAATCGATTGGGTATCGAATTCGTACTTTGAGGGTTGAAAACGGTGCATTATTTTAAATGATCGTCAATAACTGCAGGATCTCGTTACGAATTCAATCGATTTTTCGCATTGCGTACCCGAAATAAAATAGTAACAGTATTTTTTTAACTGCCATTTTTTTCTAAGAGAGCTGAATATCGACATAGGGTGTGTTACATGAAAAATATTTGGAATTTGACGTAGAATTCATCAATGCAACAAAAAATGGGGTTCCTATTTAAAAATGTCAACTTACTTAAAAATGCGCGTTAAAAAATATAACATAGATTTCCAAGGCTGTTCTATGCAGTTCCAGTAAAATATCAAAGGATATGTTTTAACATAGTAAGATTAAGGAAAATAAGCAACGACTTCCAGAAAAGAAAAATTGAGTTAGGTTAGTTTTGTTTACAAATGTTAATGAACTCTGATAAAAATATTGGGTAATGTTAGGATAGGTCAGTTTTGTTTTGAACCACCAATTATAGCGTGAAGGAATGTCGGTTTTCTTTTGAACCCCAATTATAGCGTGAAGAAGTGTCGGTTTTCCTTTGAACCCCAATTATAGCGTGAAGGAATGTCGGTTTTCTTTTGAACCCCAATTATAGCGTGAAGGAATGTCGATTTTCTTTTGAACCCTAATTATAGCGTGAAGAAACCGCAATTATAGCGTGAAGAAATGTTACTTTTGAACCCTAATTATAGCGTGAAGAAACCGCAATTATAGCGTGAACAAATGTTAGGATAGGTTAGTTTTGTTTTGAAATTCCAATTATAGCGTGAAGAATGTCGGTTTTCTTTTGAATCCTATGTTTGGTAATGTTTGGTAAGCTTAATTTTTCATAATTTTCGAAATTCATTGTAAAATTTTATTCGGTTTTGTTATATGGTTTGTTAACGAATTTGGGACACCTGTACATAACTTACTTCTGGTTGCGGCGTTTGGTGGCTGGCTGGGCATCCCTCAGAATATAGCTGTTGTTCTGGAGTACATCTTTCTGAAACCCTTCTTCTTTTTTCATATTCTTTCCATCGCATATCCTTTCTGTTCGCTCGAATAAGATTTGGATCACCGACCTCTTCTGTTGTGTATGATGATACATAGTGTGCATCTTCTTCCGATACACTCCTACCCCAATCTGTCTTCCTAGAAATTAAAACACCCAGGAAAGGTAACTGTTTTGAAGCTTCCGTTTCCATGATAAATTTAATCATGGTGTGTTGAGAGTTCAGGCGATCTAGGAACTTCTGGACCACCTTTTCTCTAACTCTCTTCTTCAAGCTGTCGGATCATAAAAGTGTCATCCACGCAATGAAGCCATATCTTTGGTTTCCACGGACTATTCCGTAATGTTCTTTTCACTATGATGTGAGTATGCAAAATACTTTGAGAATTTGATTTAGTAATTTTTTTTAATAATAACCTTTTAATTAAATGTTTCAATTAAAGTCCTTAATGTAAAATAATTTGTAGATGTATCTAATTAAACAGCGCTGTAACCCAATGAATACAGTTATGGTAATATCAAGATACGTGATTTACATTTTAGATTTAAACGTTCGTAACCGTTGCCATCTTACGAATCCCATTTAAGTTGCGTTGAATTTAGCTTGCCAACTATAAATTAATGGCACGATTATTTCGTGTACATACACAAGCTGTCGCGTTGGGTGGTGTCATTCTTTTTTCTCCCATTTATAATCGAATTGGAATAGAGTTTTCATTAAAACAAAATAATTATGTGTCAGAATTGATTTTATTCATTTTATAACAACTAAATTTTTGGCACGTCAACAAATTATTTAGTTTTGAACTAAACAGCGTGTTTCCACTCAAACCGCACCGATATAGATATAAATAATGTGTGCATCTGTTTGGCATATTTCTCCTTTTTGAATGTAATGAATCACTACGTGCGGGTGTATTTTGGATAGCGCCGTGGAAAAAATGTAAAACTAAATGTTTTAATTAAAAAATGTAATGGGGTGTATTTTCCTGCTGACACGTTATTTTCAGAAATAAAAGTTTCTATTAAATTCACTTTGTGGCGCTAAGTGCAATTCTAAAAGTGAACTCAAAAGTCAAGAGCGAAATTCTACCGGTCTGGCAAATACACAAGTTGAACGAACACGATTGCGCGAGAGTAGTACTCTTCTATTCAATATTGTGTTTTAAAAAGCTTTAAAACATTAACTTTTTTTATTTCTTTTCTAACTCAACGTTGAGAGCGTGATGAATTACTACCACTACTAGAAAACGGAAACTTTTAAAAGTGGATTAAATTGAGTACCGTTAGTTTTCTTTACGTCGGGTAAATTGCTTAAGGATAATTAAATTAATCCTGTTCTTTTTAACATTCAATTACATCTACAAATTTAATTAAAAAACTAAGCAACAAATTATCTTTTTATTTTTAAGTGAGATATATATTTTCTAATTTTAACAGTCATGTTAAAAATTCTTTTTAACGAGATTAAATATTGTAGGTGTATTCGGAAAACGAGCAGACATTGTAAAAGTTCTAATCCCATTATGGTTTGAAAAAAAAAATGTTTCCTGCTACCAGTTTCATTTAAATCAGGATTTATAGTTTCCAGTGACATGTTTTCTATTTACACTGCGTGTACACATACAAATTCGAGGGGTTTATTCGATTTCGATCTACGCTCAGTGAATAATTTTGACTCGTTCGTGTTGTCGCCGGTTCGATGGTTTAAAACCGAGAGTAACGATAAAAACGCAATCCCACGGGGAAAATATTTCAGAGTCACGTTTCGCCGTTAAGTTATTCATAGGTGTACTGGGTTTGCGATAAAACCTGAAATGGAACATTAAAGATTAACTTTTCGTGATTCGCTCGCCAACACAATATGTTAATATGGCGTGTTAATTGTTCCAACATTTAAAATATTTTTATTCACCACCATTTTATATATTGTTGATTGAGCAACCTTTTTTAATTTGTTTTTTTGGCATGTATTGATTAATCTTCATAACCTGTGACATTTTGGACGTTTAGATAATGACCCACCTCGGGCAATCTGAGGTTAATATACCTATACAGCCAATGTGTCCTCAGTTATTAATACGTGTAACCAGTGTGCAACCGCGAAACCTCATTTACAACACGAATGGGTACGCAACGTCGATGCTATGGTTATACATCAGATATAATCTAAACCGATAGGAGTAATTTCCGATGGCAATACACGCGACCCTGTTGCATATATACGACGATCCACTCGCCTGCCCCATTTCCAACGATTGTATCTCGTCGAATACCATCTCGAATTCCTACGCGATGCGTACTGTCGTGAATCCGGAAACTGTTCTATAAAATATGATCGAAATCGAAACGGAATATTTCGTTAATGGAATTTCCAAAATGGGCAAAAAGAGAAAATTCCTGCGATAGTAGATTTTAGTTTGGAGAAATGCCAAGAATTTGATATTATTTCAAACAGTTTTGATTATCGCGATTTATGA